ATAGAGTATGTATACTAATATATATATCAGCACTATTCAATATACAGGTAATTTTTAGAATATTTCAAGTATTTTTTCTGTTTATTTTCCTTGTCAGTTCTTACGACAATCAGGGATTGAAAAGGTGTGGCTACACTTTAGTTTTAATCCTCAGTCAGACACCACGCAGAACGGTGGCTAATTTAGTTACAGAACATTAAAAAGCAGTGCTCTAGACATCGGTATATCTAGCAGAAATTAACTTTAACCATTGAATGACAGCACTTACGGAAAATAGGACGAGCGAAGCCAATAGCAATTACGTAATTAAAATGACAGTCTAGTTTTGCTTTATCCTATTTTAAATGTAATTTGATCCTTTTATCTAATCCATTATGAAGTCCTGTAATCAGTTTTTTAAGTGTTTAAATTACTTTGATCGTTACAATTTCTAGTGTTTTCCATTTTTATTTGCTAAGAATTTTCAAACTTGTTGGCTGTATAGGTTAGATAGAGTTACTTACGCCCATGAAGATGACATTTTACAAAGTGTACTTTAGTGTAGTCTGGGTCTGCCAAATTAACTCTTCTTATTTGAACATGGTTGAAAATAACGAGTACTAAAACTAATTAACGAATAGCTTTAAACCTCACTGAGTCACAACGTATGCGGGCAGTGTAACCGGATCGGGAAGCCCGGCCCGGGTCGGATGTGAAACCGATATAGTTCGGGTCACCGCTCATTCTCTTATATATCTATACTTTCCACCTGTTACCAATACCACACGGATATTGATCTACATCGACAATGTTTTGTTAGGTCATATTAGAAATACATTATTCTATAGATTGTTGAATAAGCAAAGAGCTTCATGAATAATAAATTGTATATTTCTCTATGATGTATTGTCATAAAAAATATCTATTTGTCTTATTTTTTTCTCTTATAATATAATAAAATGTCTATGTAATATCATCGAACGATATTTTGATATCGTTCCGGATAATGTTATAATATATATTCCACAATTATGATTTTTATGCTAGTTTTTTTATGGTTGTAAGCCCAGGTTTATTACTATGTGTTACACTCCATGTGAGTTCAAATGTCGATACCAAAAAACTTTCTGTGTCTAACTATCAATTTATAGTGTTAACTGACTCCGGCGATGGAAACTCCGATACTTAACCAAAAATACTGTTACCAAAGTTGGCTACCCTATTTGCTTCATTAATATATTAGATAGTTATTTTATTTGAACACTATAAAAAGTGGAAAACGTAATTTTCCTTCTATTACATTGTGTATGTATTTCTTTTTATTCATTATGTTTTATGGCTCTGGATACAAGTCCTTATGAGCCCTACAAGTATAACTTACCTTAAAAAACGTGAGTTAAATCATATTATAGTGTTACCAACTATATAAAAACAGTTGAATTATCAAATACGTGGCAAACAAACAAGCAACAATAGTCAAGTTAATTGTGTGTTTAACGTATAATCTTCCTACCTGCGGTTATGAGTGAACGTTCATTTCACAATGCCTTTTACTTTTGTTTGTAAAGTCCTTACATACACAAAGCTTTTAACAGTTATAGTTTTGAAAAGTATTCAAGTTGTAAACCACGCAGATTGCATTGTTTTACTTTTTATAATACTGTTGATGGTTCATAGAACACGATATTTAAACTATTAAATCCTTGTTTGTGACAGGGATGCCAACCGAACGAGAATATTCGTACAAGTACGATCATTTTGCTACAAGGACATTTCAGCTTGGTACAAATCTGTATAAGAATTTCACCTCCAAAAGTCGTTCAGAATACGATAATGTACGAAGTTAGAGTGCCAAATTGAGTTAATATTCAAAATTTTATGATAATGTTTATTTAGATATAAGCCTAAATATTGTATGGTTGCTAATCCTGGTTTGATAGCGAGTCGAAAATTAGGTACATTGGTACCTAATTTATATATCTCAAAGATAAGTAAAATTATGCGTAACTGACATAGACTAACTACATATTAGGAAATTTATAAACTCCATTATAATTGTATTTTTTTCAGTTAAATCTGTATTTCGAATGTGGTATTAAAATTATAAATACACTACACTAAATTTTACAACATTAAGTGTGGAGGTCAGAAGTAACCAGAACTGTCTCAGAACAGTTTGACATTCATTTAACAATTCAGTTTAGCGTTAGAGGAATATTCTGCCAGGACTACTCATGTAGGGGGCATGGATTTTTCATAAAAGGTATATTAAGGTTGCAAAGGGTGCGCACGTGATACATTTGATATTTTAAGCGGCCGAGACTACAGAAACCAAAAACAATCGGATAGAACGTATGGTAGCTTGCCCTCATTATATAACATACATTGCATAAAAGAAAAATATAATTTAAAATAATAACGAATATTATCTTTTATTTTATACTTTTTATATATCTAAAACATAAATCTCGGAAAAACCATGCTCAATTTTATTTACAAAATCAGTTTATTAATACGTAATATTATAGAGACCTAATAAAAATGTTAAATATGAGTAACATAATTTGAAAACAAATTATAATTCTATATTTGGTTTAAGAATTGTGATGTTTAGCATATTATTAGATACTGTGGGTGATAGAATGAATGGACTATATGTGAGATTAATAAAATAATGGATAAAAAATGGTAAATACTTATAAATGTAGGTACGAACAATTACAATGATAAAAGAAGTGTTAGAAATAGAAGAAAAAAATATGTCAATTTTAAAAACTATAAAGAAAATACATTCAAAATTGGTACAAAAATAAATATATAAAAATATACAAAGAGTTTGGTAGTACCAAACTCTTTGTATATTTTTTCTCTTTGTATATTATTTTATTTGGTTGATTTACATCAAAATAAAATCTTTTTATAATATATTTTTATATTATGTGATAAGACCACTGGTGAAAAGTGGTAAGCGTCTTATTTAAATAGAGTAATATTAAAATCACGGTGTCTTCTAAAATGTCACGAATATAAAACCAAAATGTTATTATAATGTTATATAAATTGACCATAACGACAGTTAGAAACCCTCGCATCATGAATGCGCTTTCTGATGACATATCCGTCGTTTTCGGTCGAATTCTTATCGTTAACGAGCTATGATGGCAGGTTCTGTGACGGGAAGAGGACCATTTCACTGTGACGGATAAATTGAATTAATCTAATCAGGCGATAAATTGGCTATATGATGACGCGCTTGGAGCGTCATGTGTATTGAAATAGTCGAGTACCAACATTGATTGCATATAGGAGGTATAGATATGTATATCGTATACAGCCAACAAGAGCTGATAAGCCAATTTATTGCCCTAATATTAATTTATACAAAAACACACTTCTGACAGTAGGCTAGCTAAGTTAGGCTAAGCAAAAGGCTAGGTTTTTGACAGTAGTTTTAATTGCTGCATGATAAAATGAAGATTACATATTATTTATGTAGAACCAAAATATTATCAGAAAATGAACTAAAGTGAATTAATACATATGTGCATAATAAATAAATGTTATATAATTCTAATTATATGCAATTGATATTAGTTTTAATTAGTAACAGTTATATAAAAATATTTGTAATAATTTTATAAAAATATTTGTAATAATTTATTGTAAACTTTGCACTAGTGTAAAAACAGTTTTATTACCAAAGTCGATTAAACTTTGACGATTTTGGTATATTATAAATATCACTAAAAATTGTGTTCGTAATAATTTTCAAATGATATTTTGTGTAATCCGTTCTGTTACTATTCATAGAGGCAAGGAAACATATCTGTGTCAGAATTTCACTTACTGGCACTAGAAATTGAACGGTTCTTTTGTATGCGCGTGGTAGATACAATGCAAATGCAATAAATACCGAAGGATTAATGTCTCTGTGAGTCTCAGTTGTAAATTTGGGGAAGAGTACCTACTAATATATTGAATTAAACATAAATTAAATATTCACACATATATCACTTAACTTAGATTGACTTTATGTTCAGAATTGGGTTTAGATTGTTGGTCATAAGTAAAGATGGGCAATGGGAAAAAACCCAACGGGAATATACCCAGGTTATTTCCCATTTGGGAAAAAACCGGGTATTTATGTGGGAAAACACCCAATAGATCGTGATAATTGCGTTAAATAATGAAAATAGACGGGCTATTTTCATTATTTAACGTAATTATCCCGATCATAAAAAAAAAAAACATTTTTTTTAAATTATTAGAACAAATGCAACGAAATATAGTTACTAAGCAATGCGCACATACTTTGCGCCAGAGTATATAGCTGTTGCCTGTTTTCGAAACGTCAAAATTTGTAATGTTCCTTCCTGATTAAGGAACTAAAATAAAACCAGCAGTTTATTATAACAAATTGACGTCTTCTTGTTTTATCATAAGATTTTTTCTGCGCATTATGATGGAATGCTACTTAATTGCAGAAAGAACTTCTATTGAAACTTTTAAATATCTTTGACAAAAAAAAACAACGAGAGATACTAACAATTATTTATTACAAAAGTTACAAAAGTGTTTTTCTATTATTCTATTATTTATAGAGATATTTTTTAACATTCGAAAGAATACTTTGGGAAAGGGGGGAAACGTTACAGCATGGAGTAGTATATATAATATAACGTATTTATTGAATTATGACAATAAACAACGTTAGATTAGCTCTAACTAATAGTAATAGTACTTAAATAGTACGTACTATTTGATATATATATGTATCTACAATTCTACACATTTATCTAGGTGTTATATATGCTAAATATGAAAAAACCCCAATATTATCGTATATATAAACTTACAAATAATATATAGCTATTTGTAAACTTACAAATAAGCCCTAGTTTAAATTTAATTGGCAGAATAATGTAATATTATTTGTGTTAATAATATACATTTATTTAGTAAATATTATTATAAATGACATTATATATGACATAATAATATTTACTAAATAAATGTATATTATTAACAGAAATAATATTGCATATAAAATAAAATATAACATGTTCTTGGTGTATGATGTAAGTTGACAATACATGCCACTGGTGGAAAAACGGAGATCGTGAAGGTTAGTTCACACCCGATTAGTAATAGTGTTACGAATATTTTTATCTACATGTTGTGCCTAATAGAAGTTAAAATTTTTATTACGTTATTAAATCGCCCCGCTCATGCAATATGCACTAAATTTGTTCGGCGGCACTATAAAATATTTTAGCTGATCCGGTGACGTCACCCGCGTCGAAAACCCACATGTTCGCCGCAATTATGCCGTCCTCCAAATATAATATGTGTGGAATCTGACACGACAAATTCATACTGTCATTATTAAATTTTCAACCATTAATTGTACTGCGATTCTACCGTAAGATTGTTTGTCATTCCACTTTATATAAAAAAGGCTGACAACTTCGCTTTTATCAGGTCGTATTTTTATATGTACTGAAAGCAGTATAAGTATACATATATATGGGTTATGCAAATTGCTACGTGCGCTTATTAGCGTAGATATAACGCTGGGTCACATGCCGTGCAAACTGGAGCGTGACGTGACGAATGACCGGTGGTAGGACCCGTAATATGAATTGCAAGCAAACCAGGGTTACCAACTTTAAAACAAAACTGTAAAAAGTCGTTTGTGTGGGTACCTCAGTCTAACCTATTTCAGCCAATAAACTGCTTGCTATGCTTTGTGATATTTTAGTTGTAGGTGCAGATTAGGTAGTGAAATTACTGGATAAGATTTATGATATTATATTATTCCACTGGAATAGCAACGCATGAGTGATGCCACATGCTAATACAATGTAGTTTTATTTATGTATATAAGCGACGGTTACCGATTACATACAGGTGTACCGTCAGCTTGTTTGTCATTCCAATTACATTACATTACAATCCAGTTCCATTTGGTTCTCCAACCTCATTGTATTTTGTAAGTTTATTAGAAATCAATAAGATTCTCTATAAGTCGAAACTTGTAGTAAGATAAAAATGTCCTCATGCCGAGGACCTAAAACCTTGCATCTTACGGTTGGTTTCCCTGACTGCCACTGGTACCTGATACAGCATTAGTGCGAATATTTCGTTCCGATCCACTTCACTAGGCCAAACGATATGTTCTACAGCAAGCCTTATATTAATATATAAATTTTTATTTAATACTAATATTATAAATATTTGAAAGTCTATTCATCTCTTTTTTTGTTATCTTTTACATTAAAATGGCTCAACGAATTTTAATGAAATTGAACAGAAAAATTCTATTACGAGGATGGACAAATAAGAATTTGCGAGTAGATATTATTAATATAAAATTAAAATATGTGTAATAGTTTGTCGGGTTCAATAAAAAATTTAAAGTAAGAAAGAAACTTAATAGTAATCATAATTAAATTGTAAATAAAGTATTTCATAGTAAAGTAATGCTTTGCTTTTTTAACGTGTGAATAAATATAAAATATCATCGAGTTTATTTACTTACTGTAGAAAATTCTCATAGCAGCTCGTCTTGTATGGAAAGAGTTCGTTGAAAACGGTATTATTGCTGTGCCTATACCTGTAATAAAAAACGTACAATCCATTTTATTGTATGTACCACCTCTTTTATTAGACTATATATTTAATTTAGGTATAATACTAATTCATGGTTCTATAGTAATAATGAAATTTCTATTTCAGGTATGTGATTCAGGATTATGGACTGTACAACGCTATAAAGTCAAGGTCAAGGTGAGAAGTTTTATATTGCAGTTTGCATGGTGTAAAAAAGTGCTCAACATTACTGTAATAACTGTATACACTCGTATCTATATTGCACTCCAAAGACCTTTCTAGAACGACCTACTGAATATTAAAAAGTAATTTCTGAAACTTCTTTATCACACTTCGAGTCAACTTCAAAGCGTTTCGTTTGGTAACCGCTCAACGAAGCTTGAACGTGTTATTTTTCTGAATAGCTCGTGTAAGACGAGCCTGGCCCGTAGGTACTGCGTTTCAGACTTTTTGCCTTATTTTATACTCTTATTCGGTCTATAAAAGTCTCGCTCTGCCGCAGAGACCGAGATGACGTAACCCCTGAGATCAATACACACATTTGCAGACTTTATAGACTTTTTATCGAGGTTCATATTGGAAAAAGGAAATTTGCAAAATTAGCATTGGCGAGGTATTCTCCGCTAGATAATAGCTACTATATTTTAAAGTTGGCAGTTATTTTAAAACTTCTATAGTTAGACTTATATTCAGATTTCTTCACATTTATACTAAGAAATGAACTTTTGGATATTGACATAATTTTATCTATTCTTTTGTTTACTTACTGTGTCTGCTGTTGTTGTTTGCTTTCTATGTTCATATACCTATCACAGAATAGTTATTCGTAATTTACTTGAACTAGTGGTGGTTTTGGGTTGATATATTGCTGTCTTAGAAACAGGAATATGCGTTATCCGACAGTAATTGCAATTATCAAAACAAAACTTTAAACACACTGATTAGTTTATGAGGCATGCAAAAGGAAACAGTTATATGCGTTTATACCGCGTTATTCTACTGAGCAATTCAATGTTAATTAACAAAAAAAATCGGGAGTGAATTTAATTTATTGCTGTATTAAGTACTTGCGAGTTCATCTACTTTTAATATTTCTTTTTTATGATAATAGAAAGCCTATGTCAATCGTGGTGTTAAGATATACACATCTAATTTCTTTAAGATCCCTTTAGCCATTCACCAGTAACGCAATAAACAAACTTCCAGACTTTCGCATAATCTTAGTATGGATGTATTCCAGCAAAACAAAATTGGCTGTCTAGTGTTCTTATAATGAAATCCGAATGGTACGCAGTGCCGTTGCAAGCGCGAGTTACAATACTAATGAGCCGTCTGGCCATTGACAGATGTCGTGCGTGCGCGGGAAACAAACGGGCGAACGGGAATTGTTACTTGTTAGTGTTAGTATATTGCAATGAGCAAATAACCACTATAATATATAGCGAAGTTTGCCTGTAATGAGATAGTAGCGTTTGATACTCGGGTTATATATGAGAAACTTCTTAGTATTTTATGAATTCAGCGTGCGGGTGTTGGGTCATGTGCAGAGAGGTAAACTCCGAGGAGCTCCCGAGACTTGTTACCCGGGTAGGTTTTTGCTCTTTGCCCACGTACTACAACAATTAAGTCAATACTCACTTTCAACACTCCTGTTTCTCTACATGTCCAGCCAAGACTTGTTAGGAGCCTGCTAGTGTAGCTTTAGATACACGTTCTAGGATTGTAGAGAAATTTCGCTGGTATACCTCTCGCTCCCACTTCGATCATATCTTTCCTAATTCGTATGTGTATAATATTTTCATTCCGAATTATTCGATACGATTCAAGTATTTCGCTAAGACTAATATAATGATTATCTTCTGTGTTCTTTATTACAGACTAACTTATGATTTTGACTGTATGTGTAACTGATGACTGTAATTTTATAGCGTTATCTCAGCCTTCAATTACAAACACAGCTTACAAAGCAAAGTTCTAGATGGCTTAAATAGGTGAGTCAGAGGTAGACAAAGCACTTACAATCTGTCTCGGACAATTTTAAGTCAGGTCTTAAATTGAAATCGAAAAGAAAGAGGCTCTTAGTTGAAGTTTATCTTAAGTGTTATAATATTTTTTTTTACTGAAACCTACAATAATAAAAATATTTGGTAATAAAAGCAATTCTTTTCCCAGTATATGTAATTTTAAACTCGTTATTGAATTAACTACTACGAAGTTATTATATTACTTCTGTTATATGTAATTTTGCCATCATTAAAATTTTGAAATAGTATTAGAAATGAAAATAATCATTATTCAAATAAACTTATTATAAGCACTTTTGAATAGTCACATTTTTTTATTCTACGCTCATTCGGAATGCAGATTCATCGTAAGAAGAATGAGCAAGAGACTTGTGTGTTGCTGTTTTAAATAAATTGTTGACAAAATTCAAAATACGAAGTTAAATACCTACTCTATTTTGAACTTTGTACATGGTTTGTTTAAGAAAATCATAGGCACGATGTGACAGATACTTTTAAGACAATGTGCTCACATTACTGTCATACCACTAGCACTAACATTTTCTTTAATGATGTACTGACGTCATTAAACATGACAGAATTTATGGAATTACAAAGCAAATTGGCTTTGTGAGATCATAACTTGTAAGTACTTACATATGTATAGTACTAAAGATATTAAAATATAAAGCTTAGATAAGATAATATTATATACTAGCTGTACTCGCGACTTCGTCTTCGTGGAAATTAACTTTATTTTTCTGAAATAAAAGTAGCTTAAGTTATTCCTTTTTAAAAAGTGCATAATATTAAATAAAATTCAAACGATTATTCATAATTCTCCTATTATCTTTACATATATAATATATTCGTTACAATTTTTTTGTGAATTAACTACATAGTTTTCTCATTATATATAAATATGTTTGTTATTAATTGTTTGCGAAATTACAATTCAGATCATGGATTCAATTGACTTTTATACAACAGTTTATTATTGACACTTCTACCGACAAGAAAACGAATGTGATTGTATCAATTTGGGTGCGAGGCGGCCGCATCCGAATAGCGGCGCGCCGTGATCGCAGCTTCCGATGGTTTTCCGCTATCAATATCAATCAGTGTCCACTGACCGTCGGATAGTGGTCAGAATGTTATTAGGGTGCTGTCACATTAACTACGCCTATGGACAGGACAGACGAATTTCTGTTTCGTTAGTACTTATAAACCTACCTATATATATACTAACTAACCCCGCAAAACGTTGTTTTTGTTTTGCTATATAAATTGAAATCGCTAATATAAAATAAATGTCTATGCTTCTAGCAGGTAAAAATTTTGGGTTGTAGGTATGTATTTTTTATTGGCATAAAATAAAAAAATTACCAAAATATTAAATAAAAAAAAATATTAGAAATGGACAACCCTTATCAGCTAGGGGTATGAAAAATAGATAGTAGCCGATTCTTAGACCTAGGTACTAAATATGCATATAAAATTTATATGAATCGATCAAGTCATTTCGGGGCAGTATGGTAACTAGATACATTTTATACATAAGAAGATATGATATAGGTACATATAGGTTAGGTTTATAGGTTTATAATTTATTATAATAATATACATATATAAATGATAACTTTAGTTACGTATATTGTCTTATAAAAAAAATCTATGATAGTATAGGCAGTGCCGTAACTACAGGGTGGCAAGTTGGCAAAATGCCACGGTCCCCCAAAGGAAGGGGCCCCCGGCCCCGGAGAGGACAATCGCAACTCCTAACATTTATTATTACACATTTAGTCAAAAAAATGAATCTTAGAATGGTATAGTTTCGCTACATAGGTAACGAGCTATCCTAATGATTAAAAAACCATACTCCTTTTTATGGCTCCAGAGATGACTATCAGTTTAGACATATATATAAATTAAATTATAAGTATACGTATTCTTTTCACTTCGTACAGAGAGGTAGTGTGAAGGTGCTCTTATACATACGTCAAGTGTCTGGATTATCCGGCGCGGCGTTGAGTGTCTCACGGCCGCGGCTGCGATCAAAGCCAGGGATGGACCTCATTTATAAAATTGACACGTGTTGATACTAGATGTATTCGATTCAGTCACATTTTAGGTATAGAATTTGAAATACATAAATCAGATCATTGCACTGCGATGGATAATGTAACTATGAAATTTATTATTTACTGGTTTTTACTCGTAACTTCGTCTGCGTATAATTTAAGTTTTATTTTCTAAAAATAATAATGTCTAAAATAAAATTTTCGTAAGTTACTTTTTATAACATTAGCTATGTGCGAATGAAAGTCCCGTCAAAATCAGTTCAAACGTATTAGAGATGCCTACGAACAAATAGATAGACAATAATCTTATTTTTTTTATATAAGTGCTGTACACACTTTCATATGTATTTAGTGAAAAACTGTTAATTTACAAATAGACACTTCAATTTTATTTATTTGTAGAAATCGTGTCATTCATATTAATACTATAAATGCGAATATTTCTGTCTGTCTGTTGCATTTTTATCTCTAAACATCTGAACGTTTAACTAATGAAATTTGATATGAAGATATATTATATCATGAGGAAGGATATTGGTTATTTTAAAGTTTTTCTTCAATTTGTCATTTTCTTTACGTATTCCTTAGATTGCGAAAACTGTAGCAAACGGGTAACACAAAATACCTATTCGTTACATAGCCACAAGCTATAGACAAGCAACAGAATGGTATCTGTATAAAAAATATATCAGTGAATTTAAAAATAGAATCACGTAAATTTATATTAACGTAAATAGCTGGTTTCTGAGCTTATAAATACGCGGCTAGGTAAACAGACAGGTTACTTTTGGAATGGATTACAAGGGAACCACTCTACTTTACTTTTATATCCGCCACCCGTCGAAATATTAAAGTCCTTTTCGAGTGGATCCTTACCACCGTAACCTATTCAATATTCAAATTTTTCTACAGGTTTTGTAGAGGGGTATTTAGCTATTTTTAGAAATAAGTACAAAACTCGCAGTTACGCCCACGCTGTTTTCTTTCTACTGTGAAGTTGTTGTTTCTAAAACATTGTGCTACTGTTATGTCATAATAGAATCTCTTAACGTAGACTTAATTTTATAATTGTTACTTTGTGAACCGACTTTTA